TTTGTTGTCTTTTTTTTTTTTTTTTTTTTTAAATTTTTTTTTTTTTTTTTTTTTTTTTTTTTTTTTTTTTTCTTTTTTTTTTTTTTTTTTTTTTTTTGCGTGTGCATGGTATTCAATGGTAGGCATTTCCCGGCCTCTCCTACCGCGCTCCCACCTTAAACAAACGTTAGTTACTTCTTACTAAGGCCAGGTGTTTGATAAGGGCGATTGTAAATTCTGTGGAGCCGACACGCTGCGACACCTTGAAGGACGATAGCATCTTCGATAAGTACTGCTCCTCGCAATTCAAGCTTGTTTTCCAGGCCGCGCTAAGTCAAAGAAATAACCAGCGCCTTTGTCTATTGACACTGGGGCATGTGACGCCGGCTGATCCAACAAGAGAGTCTGAGAAGATCCCACAACAGAAGGGGGGGGGGGAGTTGGCTTTCCCAAACGTCACCCTCATTTTAAAAAAAAATACTAATAAATCGATGTTAATTCCATGGTAAAATGAGATGATCGATGGAAAATGGCAAACTAAAAAAAAAATAATAATAATAATCAAAATTCAAACAATTAATATTCTTTGACTTTTCCATTAGCGCAAAATCACCTCCAAATGGTTACCGACTTGGTCACCTGACATTTTCCTTACACTCTTGTCAATACGTTGACTACAACAGTTTCTCAGGGAAACCTTCTCACCAAAAGCGTGGGCTCATATTTTGTTCAATGTTTACATTTCCACAGCAACAACAACAAAAATTATAGGAAAGTGTACCGTCATAAACAACGGGAAAACATTTTCGTGTGTCCTAAACACTGTTTATTCGATATTTTGTCGCAGGGAAAATGAAAAAAAAAATAAAAATAAAAAGGATATTGCTGGTCAGCCTGGTATTAAGTTTAGAAACATTCAACACCCCCCCCCCTTGTTTAAGTGCATGTTTATTTTCCTATTGGTAAGATTGGTCCGACAAGGCGGCGATGTGGCGATTCTAGTCAATAAATTAGAGTCACGTGACATTCGGGCGTTACAATGGCTACATAAGACTTCAATACGCTCAAGAGAAATAGTACTTTGATATCGGGAACTGAAACTTGTTTTTGTGTGTCCTTCTCCAACAACGAAGCCATGTTCATAAACACAGAGACAACAAAAATCTGGCATGACTGACATATAGTGCAAAATCGTTGAATGTCGTGAAATATCGTGAAATATCGTGAAATAATGTGAAATGTGAAATATTGCGAAATGTCGTGAAATATCGTGAAATGTCGTGAAATATTGTGAAATATGAAATATCGCGAAATGTCGTGAAATATTGCGAAATGTCGTGAAATATTGCGAAATGTCGTGAAATATTGCGAAATGTCGTGAAATATCGTGAAATGTCGTGAAATATTGTGAAATGTCGACGTGGCAATTATATCACGAAATAAAATACTTGTGGTGATCGTTTGTATTATGATCAGCCTTAGCTTTGACCTCTAGATGGCCTGGGGGTCAATGTCTTAGCTTTAACCTCTAGATGGTCTGGGGGTCAATGTCTTAGCTTTAACCTCTAGATGGCCTGGGGGTCAATGTCTTAGCTTTAACCTCTAGATGGCCTGGGGGTCAATGTCTTAGCTTTAACCTCTAGATGGCCTGGGGGTCAATGGCTTAGCTTTAACCTCTAGATGGCCTGGGGGTCAATGTCTTAGCTTTAACCTCTAGATGGCCTGGGGGTCAATGGCTTAGCTTTCACCTCTAGATGGCCTGGGGGTCAATGTCTTATCCATCTCAAAAATAATCGACAATCTATTATTCGTTAAACCAATAAGATTAGTAGCTTAAATGAAGGCAGTGAAATAATAAACTTGTTCCTAATGTAGTGTTAGGGGTTACCTGTTCATATTGTGGTGTAAGGTGTTACCTGTTCCTAGTGTGGTGTAAGGTGTTACCTGTTCCTAGTGTGGTGTAAGGTGTTACCTGTTCCTAGTGTGGTGTAAGGTGTTACCTGTTCCTAGTGTGGTGTAAGGTGTTACCTGTTCCTAGTGTGGTGTAAGGTGCTACCTGTTCCTAGTGTGGTGTAAGGTGCTACCTGTTCCTATTGTGGTGTAAGGTGTTACCTGTTCCTAGTGTGGTGTAAGGTGCTACCTGTTCCTAGTGTGGTGTAAGGTGTTACCTGTTCCTAGTGTGGTGTAAGGTGTTACCTGTTCCTAGTGTGGTGTAAGGTGTTACCTGTTCCTAGTGTGGTGTAAGGTGTTACCTGTTCATTGTGTGGTGTAAGGTGTTATCTGTTTCTAGTAAGGTGTATGGTGTTACCTGTTCCTAGTATGATGTAGGGTGTTACCTGTTCCTCCAGAGACGTATGGCGTTTCGGTGGTTGTATATCCCACGACACCAATCCGCTGGCCACTGACATTAAGAACGGTTGATTTTTTGACCACATCTCTCAGCTCGGGTGTGCTGGTTAAGTTCATATTGCTGGACAGCACGGGAAATGTCACATTTCTGGCGAAGGGGGCAAGGCCACTTACACCATCATCAAACTCATGATTCCCAATCGCCTGGAAGTGGGGGGGGGGGATAATGTGCGTGGTGGAAGCGTGGTGGGAGCGGGNGTGGTGTAAGGTGTTACCTGTTCCTAGTGTGGTGTAAGGTGTTACCTGTTCCTAGTGTGGTGTAAGGTGTTACCTGTTCCTAGTGTGGTGTAAGGTGTTACCTGTTCCTAGTGTGGTGTAAGGTGTTACCTGTTCCTAGTGTGGTGTAAGGTGTTACCTGTTCCTAGTGTGGTGTAAGGTGTTACCTGTTCCTAGTGTGGTGTAAGGTGTTACCTGTTCCTAGTGTGGTGTAAGGTGTTACCTGTTCCTAGTGTGGTGTAAGGTGTTACCTGTTCCTAGTGTGGTGTAAGGTGTTACCTGTTCCTAGTGTGGTGTAAGGTGTTACCTGTTCCTAGTGTGGTGTAAGGTGTTACCTGTTCCTAGTGTGGTGTAAGGTGTTACCTGTTCCTAGTGTGGTGTAAGGTGTTACCTGTTCCTAGTGTGGTGTAAGGTGTTACCTGTTCCTAGTGTGGTGTAAGGTGTTACCTGTTCATTGTGTGGTGTAAGGTGTTATCTGTTTCTAGTAAGGTGTATGGTGTTACCTGTTCCTAGTATGATGTAGGGTGTTACCTGTTCCTCCAGAGACGTATGGCGTTTCGGTGGTTGTATATCCCACGACACCAATCCGCTGGCCACTGACATTAAGAACGGTTGATTTTTTGACCACATCTCTCAGCTCGGGTGTGCTGGTTAAGTTCATATTGCTGGACAGCACGGGAAATGTCACATTTCTGGCGAAGGGGGCAAGGCCACTTACACCATCATCAAACTCATGATTCCCAATCGCCTGGAAGTGGGGGGGGGGGGATAATGTGCGTGGTGGAAGCGTGGTGGGAGCGGGGGGGGGAGAGAGTAATAGAATTGTTGTTAATTTATTGTTCATTTGAATGAATTTTTCTTACTTAAATGTTACTGTCCATAACCTTACCACCGTCGTCTTCTTTGAAATCAATGTTGAGTTAAAATCAAACTAAGCTTCAAACTTAACATCCGCTACCTTTTCTGTGCAACACCAACCCATGAATTGCCAGCACTAAAGCATTTATCCACAAACTACAATCGTTATTCTTCTTCTTCTTCTTTATTTTGAGGGCCCACGATCAATGAATTGATCATTCTGGCTCC